TAATGCTTCAGTGAACATTAGCAACTTTGAGACACAAGTTTCAATCAGTTGCCTAGTGGCGCGGCGTGCATGTGCTCAGTCAGGTGCAGAGACGAGATGAACTGCCGCCATGGAGACGGCGGATTTAGAGCAAAGGACTGACAAAGCGGTCCTAAAAAAAATAAAATAATACAAAATAAAAACCGAGCAGAGGACAGAAGAGAGAGGGGAAACAGAAAGAGAAGCAGGGAAGAAGAGAGCCAGGAAAAATGAACTGAAGAGGACAGCGGGGAGAAGAACTGGAAGGAAAGTAAAGGAGGGATTTTAGAAATACAAGCGGAGAAAAAGGGCAGAGAAAGGGAATGAAATAGACAAAAAACGAAGTTAAAGAGAAATAATGGAAGGGAATAAGAAAAAAAAGGGAAGGAGACAAGGTGTTCTCCCTGGGTAGTATGGAGCAGGTCTTGTCCAATAAACACAGGTGAGCAGCTCGACAGGCCGGGACCACCTGGCTGACTGACAGCTGAGAGCTCTCACTGACCACTAGCTTTATGTTACATGACATGAGGAGTGCAACTGGACTGCCAAAGAGAAACACACTCTGCACCTCTCAGAGTATGGGAGGGAAAAAAATATCCACTCTTGCATACACACACCCGACAGTCGGACAGCCGTGCCATTTCTCTTCACAGGTGAGCAGAAGAAGGAAACACCCGGGTGCTTCAGTTACTTAGTGGGAGAAAGTGCGGAGTTGTAGGGTGGGTGGTTGGAGGGGTTAGAATGTATGCCGACTGAATCTTTTCCACATGACGGGCCTCGGGCTGTTTTTGTCAACTGCACTCTTGAGCGGCGAGGAGTCAGGTAGTGTGACCACATGATTGCCCGAGAGGCAGTGTGTTGAGAAAGAGAGAGAGAGAGAGAGAGAGAGAGAGAGAGAGACAGAGGCCAGGGACAGGAGCGATGCAGCACGCATGATGAGGTGTAATCACAAACCCCATTCAGAGTGCAGTGGAGTTTGTCAACATACACACATTCACATTCCACTGTCTGTCAGCTCTATGACCCAAATCGAGCATGCTGTGAGTGTGAGTGTGAGCGTTTTTTCCACACAAACGGATGCTTTCGGCCCATTTTCGCCTCCAACCAGGTAGTAACGGCAGCGCTGTCTTTGCTTGTGGTTTGTGGCAAGGAAGTCAGATTCCAAGCGCTTGTAGGATTTCACCGCCGCCTGTATCCCTTTTCAAGCCGCGATCAAGTGATCATTATGAACAAAGGATTTGGCTTGTTGCCTCTGGAGTAAAAGCTTTCTCAGTGGCTGTGACTGTGTGGTTTGATTTGAAACTTTTACTTAGAAAAAAAAAGATTGGAAGACAGAATGAACTAGAGTGGAGGAAGACACTATCCTGGTGTAATCTTGAAAATGTTACTTTAAAGTCAAAAGTGTCATATTGAGAAAAAAAAAAAAACACTTGTTAGAAGCTAAAAATAGAAGAAAAACCATATTTTCTTTTGAGGTTGACGAAATAGAAACTTTAAAGGTATATTTCCAAGCGAACAATTTGTGTGGATAAATTCCACATTATGTGACAATATTGACATAATGTAGCATTTACACTCTAACAGTATGCTTTCCTTGCAACAAATAGGGATCACCAGTAGGTTAAAAAGTGTACATTTAGTTTAAGTCAAAATGAATATATCAGTATAAAACACTGGACTGTGAAGGGCTAAAATAAACTAAGAGCTACATGTGCAGGCTGAAAAATGAGGCTGCGTGACAGCTTAGTGATAACACACAAGTTCAATCTGTCAAGACAATCAGCGTTTAGACCTCAGGAGAAGAATGCGCGACTGTGTGCGACCGATTCATTGGACACGATCACCTGCGAGTGAAGCCACTCATAATTCTTCCCACCTGAAATAAGGAGTTCAAACTAATGTCAGGCTGCTCTGATGTCATGCCTGCCTCGGCTTGAGTTTCACAATAATCTCAGGCGCTTGGAGAGATGCCCACGGGTCCGGCTTCCGCACCCAAGATTTCTCAAACTAAAGTGCAGGGAAAGAATAACATCTGAAACACTAGATCCTTGCTAGTTTATAGAAATTAAGGTGGTGACTGCAGTATTTGCAATCAGTCTTTTCTGAAGTATCAATCATCTTTAGTATGAGGTGTACAAAATTATTGGAGGGGCCCCAAAGTATGCCAAAGACAAATTGACTTTTTTTTTTCACATAAACGTTTCCCATATCTCATAGTATTCTTCAAGAACAAATAATATTTGGGTTTTTAAAAAACAACATGGGAAAAAAGTCAGGGAAAGAGAAAGAGCGGCAGCCCCAAGGATCAATAGCCCCATTGAGCCGCTTTATCTTCTCTTAAAGGAATGATGGTAAAACTCATTCTGAGCCTCCTCACCTCCCCACTTTCTGAATCCATTCTCATGGCAACTGTGCACTCTGGACAAACACTCTCCACACAATCTCTTTTCTTCTCTACTTACTGTCTCCCCTGCATCTCTTGTTTTTCTATTCTGTCCCCTAGTCATCGCTCTTCAAAGTCGTACGGAGAATGACGTGATCTGGACTGAATTCAGCCTTGCTATTGTTATGTTTTCAATGTTTGATTAGATACATATGAGGCATTATCATCGGCGAAGAAAAAAATCTTTTGAGTGTATATGTATCAGGTGTGAAAAGTATTTCCTCTGCGGAAATAACGTCAGACAATGCTGGAGTTTATTTAAAAACAGGACAGCATCTAATCCCAGGGATCAGCGAAGGGCAGGAAGCCATTGGTCAATATACTTGTGCTCCAATTTGCTCGCAGCACGACAGTATCAGGTCCCAAACCAAACTTCATTAAATAGAAATTTGGAAACTTGGGGAAACTTTCAAAACTTTTAAGTTGTCATTGCTTAAGTGTGAAGACAAAACAGTGGACCATAGAGAGAAGGGTGCATGGAGAACAGCAGGGGCTAAGAGTAAAAAGGAAGCAAGAGAGAGGAAAGTAAACCTTTGATGAGTAAGACTTTTTTTGTTAAGCAAGGGGGGCTTAACTTTAAAATATTCTGGGTGGCGGTGAATGGGGGATTGACCAATGGCCCTGATCTTAGCCACATACTGGGGCACTGGGGTTAATGGTGGATAAAGATTAGAAAAAAAAAAGGGAGTTGCATTGCCTGATCTCCATCCACCCCCACACTCCATCACTGCAGTTTTTTTTTTACCTTCTCCAACCAATCCCAAATCAGCAAGACTATGGAGACTGCCAACGGGGAATGATCCGAGTCCCTTTGATTTCTGAATCTACCCCCTCAACGGCTCACAGTGCCCGGGGTAAAGACCCGTGGAGGTTCTCCCTGTTTGCCCGCTCACAGGGGCGACACTTAACGGGCTCAGAGAAACCATTGAGGATTGGAAATGGAATGACAAGGGGTCTCTGATCTATGACAAGAAATCAATTTCAAACTGGAAATGCGCACATAGGGCTGTTCAGTATAACTGTGGCTTCTTTAAAGCAGCTGAAGATATATCTAATTGCTGTAGATTTTTTTATATATATGTCAGTGGAAGTATGGCTCGCAGTGTTGGAGCAATTACACTTTTTTTTGCGATGATTAGGACTTTTTTAAGGCCAGCAGATATGCAGTAAGAGTTCATCTTTGAAGATTTAACTGAATACGAGACAAATTAAGAACTAATATTTAAATCTCTTTTAGGTGGAAGAGGAAATCTGGACTCTGCTTCACTTCAGGATGATAGGACTCTCAGGGAGGTAGACCCGGTGCTACAGCCCAGACACTCAAGAGACTTTGCTCCTGCCCACAAACCTTTAATCACATCTAGACCTCTAGTGGTGCTACTTCACTGTGGTGTACAGAGATAGAGATTTCTTCCCCTTAGATTGGGGTGAAACATCTAAATAAACTTATGACCTTAATACAGAGAAAAGACATCAACTTCAAACCAAAAATCCCCCCCCCCCCCATGTCGTTACTTCAGTAGATGCATTGAAATATCTTCATAAAATTCTTAATCGACCAACGCGGGCATGTACATTCTATATATAAAATTACACACACAAACATAAAAACTTAAATCTGACTTTGCAAACTTCCAAACAAACAAAATGGAAAGTGTTTCCTTGTGCTCAGAATAGTGTGAGTGTGACATTTAGCGCATGGAGGCATGAGTTTCTGGGAAAGAGCCAATCAGTAGAAAAGCCACGTTCATTAACTCTGAGATATAATTGGTGATCCCCATTAGGTGACCTGAGATTCCTCGCACTCGTATGTGGACTGACCTGGAGACTGCCTTAGATCAACCTTCTTGAGTCATTATGTTGGAAAAGGGAGCCGTGTGATGCTGATCATGTGAAAGCTAACGAAACAATGACATGCTAAATCAATTCAATCATTGAGTTTGGTACAAATTAACAGTTTGATTGATCATTTTTTGACATTATCAATACATTTTATGTTTCTTTTATTGTCAACTTAATGTTGACACACCAAATTGTACAAAATCTTATAAAATCAGTGAGGTCTGGAAATCAAGACATTTAAATTACAACTCTTTAAATGGTGACATTCGGATGACAGAGGTTAATAATAATGATTGAAGAAGTTTGGTCTATAAAAGTGATTTTTATAGTCTGAACATGTGTCTCTAAATATTGTAAAAAATTATAGTTGGTTGAATAAAAGGCCTTTATGTCACTTCAATTTGTTAAAGGATCATGTCCAACATTTTCCAGAGGACTCATTTTTCTTACCAGAATCAGAGAATCAGAATAACATCTTCCAGACGGTACAATCAGTGTCAATAACAAAAGTATGTAGTGTTCTTGTATGTGGGTTTACTGTTGTGTCAGTTCAGCACCCAGTCTGTGTTACACTACAGCCAAACCCCAAAAAGTGACATGACTGATGTGGTTCATTACAGAGGACACATTAATCTGGGGGAAGAAAAAACAACTGAACACCAGGCATGAGAGAACAATGGAAACTGTTTTCACTCACCACTTTGGACTCTACAGTGTTTGTCGACGGCTTTTTTCTATGGGTGCAGAGTTTGCATATTTCATCCTGAAAAAAAGGAATCGAGAGAAAAGAGAAGTTAGGATTCCAAAATTTGAGAAGTGCATTGAATCCAGCTTAATTCATTTTCTACAGTTTCTTTAAAAGTGGGTATAAAGTCATACAAACAAGTTATACTAGCATCAGGTTAGAGCAAATATAACCTTCTGTACTTTTGTCTGTTCTGTTCGGCTACAAATCTCAATCAAGACATCAACAAAATAAATACAAAACCTGATACAGAAGCTTGCCCACATTTGTCGGCCATAATGCATATCATAACTTCTAGGCTAGAGTAGATTGAAAATCCTTGGGGTGTGAAAACCAAACAGGCACACCTGAGAGGTTGCCCAGTGGAGGGGGAATTCTATCAAGGTGGACAAGATGAAGATTTGTTACATTTGAGCAGGGAATGGGGCCCCCTTGACCTCCTCTCGCCTCTACAATCATCCAAACACAGCGGGGCTAACGATACAGTAACACCACAAGGACGACACTGTTTTTGTCTTAAATCAAAAAAACAATATCAGTTTATGTTTGCTCAAACATAAAAACACTGCAAAGATAGTTGATCTTGAGAATACACTGAAGGTTAGCGTTAATTCCAACACTGATCCTGGCAAAGACACTGTTAATGCTATTGTAATCGTCCTCAAGGTTAAGGATTCTTTGACAGATGGACATGAAAAGGGCCGTGTTCCAATACTCACCCTCAGGGAGAGAACTTGCAGAAGTTGTCCGTCACAGGAGTGGAAGGAATCCAGCGCTGTCAGCTATCATAGGCAAGAGAAAAAACAGTTAGGAATACCATTAGTTCAAATCTATCCGTGCATTTTTTTCATGTTTCCTTGGCACATTTAGTGCTGGGTGGACATGTGTGGGCTGGATCTTATCTTGCGCAAGTATTGTCTGTGTGGCTCGTAGGAGAAAGCAATAAAGTTTGGAACAACAAAGTGCACCTGGATTTTTGCTGTGAAGCTTAAGAGCACATGTGTGTGTATATTAGTGCATGCACAAACAGGTAGGGTACAGTACAGTAAAAGCTGTAGTCCCGCTGCAACCCCCACCAACCACATCACAAACACACACATATCTCACTCTCAAGTTAAAAGGTGCAGTGCCTGGAAGGCTCGAGCTCTCAACGCTGAGTAAATCACACTGTTAACCTGACACGATTGATTTCTCATGTAGGCCCATTCAGCTGTCTGCATCTAAGCACACATGCTATGGCATCCATATAATTTAGAGACCATTAGTATTGATGATTTTTTTTGTGTGTTAAACAAGTACAGCAAGTGTGCACAATACCACATCTGCAGCCACAGATTGCTCTGGACATTTTTACTGCACATACATCACATAGAGAGCATTAAGTGAGGAAAATTTCAATCCCCTCACTGAGTAGTTGTGGAGGTACATTTCCACCATGTGGGGCACAAAGGGCACAAAATGGCCTGGGTGTTCGTCTCTGTGAATTTTTTTATTTATTTATACGCTCCCTTTTATTCTCCCAGAATTCCAATGACCCCTTACAGGCAACCAGTGACTGCTGAATCCTGAGGAATGTGCTCTCTGAACTGTACAAAAAAAGCCCTCAGCTTAAAGAGGGCAGCTGAAAACAAAACATGCCAAATGCTATAATTTTTCACTGTTTTGAGTTTGTGGAAAATGTTGCACAGATTGCGGTGCAACGTTTACTCAGAGTGGGCTGAGGGGGGTTGGAGGTGGGGGTGGGGACTAACCAGGGCAGTGTTTGTTGGGAGAACAAGTTCAGAACCAAATAGGGTAGTAGAAGTTCATAATTTGTTTTGTGCACATAAACATACTGAACATCTGGGGAAATAGTTCTATGTATATTTAAAGATGCACAAACGTATTAAAAATGCAATAAGATCCTAAAAAAACGTTGAACTTAATTTAGACATCAACGTTGTTATTCTAAGTGAAATCTTTTTTTTCTGGATAAACTTTACTATCACAACACCTCTAGGCTGAGCAGATGTCATATTTTATTCACTGGAATATCATTAATAGCATTAGAAATGCTATTAGTCCGTATGACCTCCAATTCGTGGGGATTTACAAATAGCACACATATCTTTATGCCAAATATAAAACCTCTGGTAAATTCTATCAACTTATAAATATGGCAAATGCATTTTCAAGTATTCATGAAGGCCTAATAATGCTATAGGCTGATATTTACATAAAGCGCTTGCGTACTAAGTCAAGATAAACTATTTAAGACCCGGACCACAAATACCTCCACAGTGCAGAAAAAGGAGGGTTCTGCGATGAAAGAGGACATTATGCTAACAAGTCAGATTACTGTACACAATAACTTTATCTTAAAAGTAAATACCATCCTCGGTGTTGGAAAAAGAGGGGAGGGGAGGGGTTGGCATTATGGAAAGTCAGTGGCAATATTTCTGTGGGGACCAAATGCTCCTTATCAGTGTTAGTGGAGCGATTCAGGCCCGCCTGAAGAAAGATGAGTCTTCAAACTCATTCTATTCATGGTCAGACGTGTAATTACCCTCAGCTCACAGTCTAGACGTAACCGCTTTCACAGTATTTAAGACCCCTATGCAACGTGCGGACGAAGGCTCCTACCACAGAGCCCCGCGCGTTAAATCTGTGGGCAGATAAATTAGCGAAGAATGCAATAAAATAGACACAATGAGAGGAACTTTATCCTCCCTGCTGCTAAATGAGATTTCTTTGAAATGCAGATCAGTGGCTCTAGATTAGTGAATTTTAGCTGCTGTCAACATCATAACAAAATACAAATGCGATTGTTCGCCGGGGCCTTATCTACTTGCTTCCATCTGTTGGCTGGTTATTTACTCCCCCCTGATTTACTATGCAGATCTAAATAAGTCGCATCAAAAGGAGGGCTTACTGCACAATGCCTTCTTAAGCTTCTACATCAAGGTATTTGAAAAACCGGTAGTCACATGAAAAGGCTGCCCATCAAAGGCACATCTCTAATGAACTCTCGCGTATCAGAGGGGGCTTGTGGGGCCTGGCTTTAATGCCGTCTGTGTGGAGGAGAGAGAGGGAGAGAGAGAGAGAGAGGAAAAGAACTACAAATCAGACTCACCAAGGCATGGCAGAGGAGGGGCGAGGAAGGGGAGGGGGACCTCAGTTATCAGATGAGATTAGCTTAGCAGAGGGACTAGTTCTTGGTTTTTACATCCGTCCATCTACCTCTTTGGTGTAGACAGGAGAAGGCACTTTAAAAAGGCTACAATAGAACTAGATAAGAACAAGTTATCCTGGATTAGATTGGGCACAGGTAAATCTTGCTGGATGACTAGTAAAGAAAACATAATTCAGGAGAAAAATCTACTTTAAGAAACCACCTTTAAAGTTACTCTAAATGCACTTTTCTGAAGTTTTGATAAATATCTGTCAAAAAAAATGACAAAGCAATCCACTTCTCATAGGATTAAAGAGATTTTTGGACTGTCAAAAACAGCAAAGAAAAGCAGACTCTGCTCCCCCCCACCCTCTCTCATTCTCCCAGGTCTGCAAACAGCTTCAGTAATCTCAAACAGAGCTTTTGCATTACGCTCCTGCAATAACCTTTAATTTCATGGTGTATTTGTTGCATTCGGTGCACAGGCCGGATTACAACCGACAATCTTCAGACTTATACGAGGAAAATAAACTGCATGGAGAGATCATGATCTCTCCCCCACCCACCCGCCATCACCACTGCTGCCACCACTATCCTGCTTTGTGTGACTGTATGAAGGGGGATACCCCCCCCCCCCCAACCCAACCAACAAGCATGCAGTTTACCAGTGAACAATTAGCCCCGGAGCAAGAGCGAGGCCCAGCGCTGGCACATGTGGTTAAGAGGCGAGCACTGCGGGAGAGCACCAGATGATGAAGGGATGAGGAGGAGGAGGAGGGATATGGAAGGAGGCGTGTTACGTGTGCCAGACACGCGTAAGCTAGCTTTTGGCTACTGAGTCTGTCTATTGTCATTTACTAACTGAGACTCTTTTCAAAGATTAAGCAGTCCTTCACTGCAAGACAACTTTGACTCCAAACTCATTCAGCTTCAGCTGTAATCTGAAGGTATCTGATGGCTGAGTCACTTACCAACACAAAACCAACTTCCCTTCCCTCCCCTCGCTCTGCCTCAAGCATCTTTCTGCACTGTAGCATGCCAACTGGGCCCGGTGCCAGTCGCATTTGCAACCACAAGGGACGCTTGTCTTTTCGCCTTGCCTAATGAAATGACAAAACAACAGATTTGCATATGTAGAAACAGGTGTTGTAACAGGTTTGACTCCTCTTGACCTGAGCTGTGTTAAAGAGAGAAACTGCGGAGGGGAAAAAAAACATGCAGGAGCAGGAAAAAATAGGAAAAGTTTATGACCAACAGCTGCCTGGAGGTATTTAGGCTCTAATGGGCACTTGAGTTTGCACCATCTGCCCTGCTGCTTGCCAGAAGTGACAATCCAAATTAAAAACCACTCATCAAATACCATAAAAATAAACCATTGTTTTTGCTGCGTCCATATGTTGTGGCCATTTGATTTCGTTCTAAGAGAGCAGAGTCGGAGGCTGAGCTCCGAGGCCTAGAGTTGTGATCCAGGGAAAATCCGGAGAGCCGCACAGTAGCCTGTAATTACCCTCCTACCGATCCACTGTCTTCAAACCAGAGCCCTGCGTCATCCCGCACATTATCCGAGTCCATCCTCTCCACATTACAGAGGAGAGGACCTAACAGAGCCAATGTGGTGAAAACATGGGTCATTGTTTAGAGTGGGATTAGGGGTTGCCTGTAAAGAGCACAAGCTGGGTGTTCAGATATATAAGGGGATAAGATCGCTTCACTGTATTAGCTTGTAACTCGAAAACTGCTCTTATTTTTGCATTCAAATTTGTTTTGTTGATTCTAGAAACGAAAATAGTGACGGAGAGTGTGTTGCTGCGGAAACTGAAAATGAGGCATTTCTGCAAATGTCACATGTCTCCCCTAAACATTTTGACTAAGTTATGTCCTGACCCAAAGGGCTCGACTGGCAACATTTGTTTTGTCCTTTACTGAAAGACACAGCTACTGTACGACACCCCTGCCCCCCCCCCGCCACCACCCAACCCCCCACCCTCCAATTTGCCTCCTGTTTTTATTTATACGAGTGAGACAGAAGGAACAAACCTGAGACAGTCGTGACCCTGTGCGAGTGTTGTAACTTGGTCTTGAGCTACGCCGGCAGAAGGCAGTACCATATGCCCTCAGCCCCGAGCTGGATGCTCTTTCTGCAGCCTAATGTGCCTGTCAAAAACTGTTACCATCACGAACCCCCCTCCTCATGTTTTTTTCCCCCTCTCACAACATGTTTGAAATAAACATTTTTTCCCTTCTCTATGTCTTTCTGGGTGAAGATGAAAGGGCCTTAGAGATGTCAGGCAGAGGGGATGCAGTAACTGCTTTCTGTGCTTGTTACAAAGGATACAACTCTTTAAAGTTACCTATCATTGGAGTTACTTCTTTGGTTCTGGAAAATTGTGATTTCTTTTCCATAAACAATTAATTCAGTAATTTATTAATTGTAAAAATAAACAGCAAATTGTATGATCTTAACAAAGTTTCTTGAGGCCTCTGCTCTTGCCTTTTCCTCATTGTACTTGTATTATCAAGAGCAGCAGATTTGTTACATTTTGAACATTAAATATTCTTTAGAAAAAGCCTTTTAAAGCATGGCTGAGTTAGCTTCCACTGTTAGCCTCACTGCTGCCTCAAATCATGTTTGCCTGTTTACAAATGACAGGCTGATGGCTGAATGCAGTCAGCAACAGTGACCTTGCCTTTTACCATGAGTGACCCTTTATCTTTAATTCAGGGCAAGAACCCCAAAACCAACACATTTTTTCACACCAGGACACTGTCCATCTGAGCGTGACTTGAATAAAAGCTGTCATGCCTTCACACCACACTGACCAGCAAGTAAACATGCAATTGTTAACTCAACAAGGAAGGGGGAGGAGGAAAACTGAGGGCGGAAAAAAAAACAAGCAAGGTCTGCGGCTGTTGTTGGTGCACTGTGTTTCAAATGAGTGCATAGTTTGTAGGAAAAACAGATTGACAGGTCAGATAGTGTTACAGGGCAAGTTAAGAGTGTCAGCTCTATGGGAGACCACAGGGGTTACTGTCAAGACCCCAAAACATATGAACAGCCATGAATTACATTATTCTACAAAGCTTTAAAGAAATACTGTGCACAAAGACCAGGGTTTTTTTTCGATAAGGCATGCATGTTTCTCGACATTTCAGGATATGACACACTGCAAGGTTAAACGCTAAAGCCAAAAGCTACACACTTTAGATTTGTTTGTGGCTTTACAGTCCTTTGATGGAAAAAAAGATGACGTATGACTTTATATTTACAAAACAATCTTTGCAAGTCATTTTGACCCCTGATTGTTTTGGTCGAAGTAAAAATATAAACACATGCTTGGCCAAGAAAACAAAAAAACCCTCAAAAATAAAATAAACTAATTCCACATGTGGCGATGAACTCAGATAAAACAAAGCTGCTGACTCTTTCACCAATAGCCTGCAATCTCCTTGCTAATCCTCATCCCCTGACCCCACCCTGCACTGCTTTCTCCGGCCAAAGAGTCACAACGTTTCTCCCTCACACCAGAGCAGAGTAGGGCTTAAGAAGTGACCCAGAGCGTAACTAAAAAAGTCTGAGCTGTCTCAAGACTCTTAGTAACCGTGGCACACAAAACATCATTACTGTGATGTGGATAATTACAGTGCAAAAAGGGGTGGCCTCTTAAGCATGTAATACACTCTTTTATCTTAAGGAGTCAATCTCTCCCAGTCTGACAGCTTGCAGCATATGATCCTGGTAAACAAATACTTTGAAGCGGCACAAAAGTGCCATTAAAGGCCAAAACTGTCAACACAAATTCCATTCTTACTGGGAAGGGGAGGGGGAGAAATGGGAGGGGGGTTGAAAAGGGACTTGATCACTTCTGGTTGCTTTAACTTGCATGGAGGTTGTCATGGAAACATTTCTATGAAGTTAAAAGGGATAAAACTTGCACATTTGCCATTTAATTGCATTTAAGCTTTGTCACAGGGCTTAGTATGCCGTATATGAAAACACACTTTTTACGTTGCGTGGAATTACTCTGCGTGGTGTTTAGAACAGTAAAGATTGTGCACCACTCCCTTTATTTTTCTTACCCATTTCTCCCCCAAATGCAGCAACACCTCAAGGCTTCGAGCGAGCAGTCTGTTTCATTAGAGAGGTGTTGGGGGATGGGTAATAGTGCAATTCAAAAGCTAATCCAAAAGTCAGCAAGTGTTTCATTGCCTAAGAATTGATGTGATCTGTGTTTTCTTAAAAACATCCACTTTCTGCCCTTTATTTGAGTCATCTTAAACCAAACACACATTTTACATTTGGTCAGTTTTTGCACATAAACTTTTTACATGACTCACAGAACTACAATTAAATTGCTAAACGTTCTCTAATTCAGCTCATCTGGCAGCAACAATTTCCATATCTGAGATACAAAAAAAAAAAAATCATGCATCAACCGGTGTTCATTGAGCTGAAAGTTGAATCTTAATTTTGATAAATGATTGAAACATATGACAGGGTATACACATTAATCCTGTGGAGGACATTCATTTTCCTATTACCATAATGTAGAGCACGACCGCCCGATGATAAATGCAGCAATCAAAAAATGGAGGCAGAGTGGGGAGAGCCGGGGTAATAAGTGCACTGCTCCCAACAACGGTCAGTCTTACAGGGACACTAATGGCAGGTCTCTTTGTATGGGAAAAAAATGCATCCAGTTTCACTAAATAAAGTGACCTTTCCATACACACAGGTAAACAAAAAAAAAGGTACGGGCAGTTTTAAACATGTTTAAAGAAATGATTACAGGGGCACTCCAACAAAGGGGCTGATTGTGCACTGCCGCTGACATATTTCACGAGGGGCATTTATTGCAGCCTTGGCCTTTGAAGAGTGAGAGCTGCTGAGTGAGGGGGGAACTGGCCCACACCTGCATAACTGAGGAGGGAACACCTGTGCACCCTGGGGCTCCAACAAGGAGGGTCCATGCCACTAATCCAGGGGTGAAAGCTGATCAGAGGACAGGCCTGCAGAGTTCAGCTTCTCCCACTATCCTCCTATAGCCTTTCTTTACTACAACAAAAAAAGTGACCTTTATTGATTTTAAAGGCCACAATGAATTGTGGGAGAACAGTGGCAAGATACAGAGAGTGAAACAGAGGAACTCAGCAAGCTTTTATGAGCTGTTCCTGTTTAGTTACAACAGTTTGAATTTTAGGATTTTAAGTAAATCATCATGAATCTGATTACTGCGTCACTGTTTGTTTCTGGACAAGGAAAAAAGATGGAATATAAAAAAAAGGAACAAGCAAGCACGGTAAGGTGTTGAATGCTGATAATCACAGATATTGATCTTACAGATATTGTCGAACGCAGATGTAGCATTGATAATTATTTCCAATTTCTCCTTTCAGTTAAGCTGCATTTTATTTTGAGAGCAGAGGCTTTATCTTCTCAAAATGTCAAAAATTGTATTTTGAAATTTTGTGACGGAATCTTTAAAAGTGAGATGTGTCACATGATAAGCCTATACCATGTCCACAAGACTAAAGGCATTACAAAATGCACTCTTTCCTATTTGATTATTGATTAAAAACATCAAACATAGAATAGGCTATACATCTATTTGAAGTGGAAGCCCATAAAACGCAATAAATTCAAAGTTTCTTCATTTTCATATCAATGAGATTTTGCAATAACAATAATTACAGCGAAAAATATATTACTCGAAAATTTGCAGTGGCTTTAACGCAAATACAAACTGAAGTTAAGTGTATTTAAATCTATAAATCCAGTTTAATCTAACGTAATCTATGAGGACGTTTAGCAATTATCTTTGCAAATTCGGCACGTTTATGTGCAAAAATGGATTTAAAATAAGTTTTTGGGTTTGCCCTTACGCTTCTTCCTAAATAGTAAGTGTTTCAGGGCAACAATTGTCACGCCGCGTTATGAGTAGTAAAAGGTGAAAACAATAAGCCGATATGAAACAATAAGTTGCCTTTATGTAAAGTCAGTGTTCAGCGTTCAAACAGGCGAAGAGTGCCCAGCGCTGTCTCGAGGTCCTAACATGAAAAAGCCGAACACCATGCAAGGTTAACAACATATGTTAACAGCTGCACGGTAATTAAAAGATACAGGAAGTGCACGCGCTACTTGCAAATATAATGTTGCAAATCAAAATGCAAAGTGTGAGATAACAACAAACTTGCGGGCGGCGGACCACTTCCTAATTCAAGTGTAGTGGACACAGCAGTAAAAAAAAAGAAAAAAAAAGAAAAAAAAAAAAAAAAGTCAAAGAGTGCGGACAGAAATAAGCTCTTGGCCAGAAAAACTTACCACAAAAAAACGCCAGGTATATTTCCCTCACGGTAAAGTCAAAAGGGACACACCAGGTGAGAAGTCGCCGTCCTCTAAAGCCTACTTGCAGAGATCTTCACACGTGACTGTCCAAGTTCAACACAACGCAGAGAAAATGAACAACAAGCAGCAGAGTAAATAAAAAAAGCTCAAATATTCCTCCGCTGGGCACCGCTGTCGGAGAAACACACACACTCTCTCCTGCTGTCTCCAGTCAACGCTGCTGTTATTACTAATGCAACAGAGGGGAAAGCAGTACACCGAGTCCTGTTTGAATGACGCGCAATGCGAGGAAGACGCGGCTTGTTTTTTTTCTTTACGATTCAAACACACACATCAAGCTGTATCCCAGCAAGCAAGTATATTTGGGACTAGAAACCCCCCCAGGGGAGGCACTTGCTTGTGCGCGGAGGTGTGTGTTGTTATTTTTGGGCGTACTGCGACCCCGTGTGACGTCATGGGCCACCTGCTCGCTAAACAAAAAGTATTAGTTAAAAGTTTGTTTCCCCCTTTTTCAAACCTTTCACGTCGAGGTATACCTTCATTGACGGCAGCTGATAGCTGAGGGCTCGGCGTAGATAATCAGAGAGCTTCCTCAAATGTAATAATGCATTGTTGTTGTCGGAGGTTCCAGTAGTCTTCCAGTAACGGGACGGTTCCTCCGACAGAAACATAAATCCACACGATACTGTAGCCTATCTGAGAAACTTGTAACTATTTGAACAAGATTACCGACAAGTCGCTTGATTTCAAACTCACCCGCATGTGGGAACTATATGAAAGGGGGAAAGAAATCAATTACTTATATGCTACATATTTTCATAATATTTCTATATAGTGTATCAACAAGAGCAAGATTTTCTGTGGATTTTACCAACTTGTAAACATTAACCCATATAGCTTACTCATTGTGTTTGACCTTTTTAATTGCTTTTACGAAAGCTTAATTGTTGTTTTTCCCCCTCGTATTCATACTTTAACCTTCCACCCATTAAATAAATAGCCTAGTGCAATTGCTTAAAAACAACAACAACAAAAAAGCAGAGGAATTACATCGATGGACAATTACGATAACATTTTTGCAACAGTGTAAATAGCCTTTCATAACAAGGAAATCACAGACAGACCTCAGCTTCAGCATCTTTATAGTCAGAATGTAAACTGAACGGTCAACATCATCCTTTGGCATCTTTGGAAGTATTTTCAAAATACTTTTAAAATTTTGAATACATTTCATATGCAGCAAAATAACCCGTTATGGGGCAAACCGAACGTGTTAAAGGTGTAGTAACAGGTCAAGAGAAACTTATTAGTAAATATGCGAATTAATAGAATACAGTTTTTTTTAATGACAGCTAAATATAAGTTAAGACTAACAGTCAAAATGTAACCCAACACTGCTTTATAAATACGTCAACACTAAATGAAGATAAAGAGAGTTTTTGACGGAATTTTCTTACCCTTTCTGACATACCTTCACAAGGTAATTTTTGCCTATTTGTTCATGTAGTAGTGGATCCGAAGTCAGTCATACTTTAGGCTGTAGTTAAAATGTTTTTATCTGTTTTTCCTGTCTCGTCTTTTCTTCTTTCTTCAAAACCGCTGATACGTTCACGGTCAAGAAATAAATGACCAGATTATTATCAACTGAAGAAAAAAGAAAGGGTGGGGGCAAGCCTTTTTTTAATGTGAAAAACGCGAGAGTTGTATCTTGTATTATTCTCTCTAAATATTTCAAACGTTATAATTTATGTAATTTATGTCATAAATGAGTAATTCTAAGAAACGTGATTGCAAATATATTTATTTTTCTAAATGAAAGGAACATACTTTGAAGCACTTAATCCGTATGCTAGTGTCTATTTAATATTGCGTTCATAATATGGATTGTTTATTTTATTAACTGATAACGTTCAATATTAGACATCACTTATATAGCCTATATAAAAAGAACTATAGCAATTATTAAGCGACCTTCCCACATCAGTGGGCATGCTATTATCCACTGCCGGTGTAATCCACTGTATCAATAATGTCCTAAACATCGGCCCAGGTTTAGTGAGAAAAGAGTTTTATTTCTACATAATTTACAAAAGGAAAAAAGAATCAGTTTAGCGTACCGAAACAAGGATATACATTTGTTTGCAATGGCATGATATCGATCTTGAACATTTTTCTTACTTTGTTGATGTTGCTTTTCGTGTTTGCCATTTCAGAATCGGACAAATAATAAGCAGAAGCCAACTGCATCTGGGGAGAGATGCGGATAGAAAGGGAAAACAAATATCATGGAATTATGGTGGTAGGCTGCCACCTTCTGGTCAACTGTGGTAACTGTCTGATCAAGGAAACAAATGAAATACATATAACAAGGAGACAGGGTTTTTTTTATTCTCCTTTCCTGTTATATCATATAATTTCCCTCCAAAATTGTCAGTGTACTTTGAGTTTGCGGCTATAAAAGAAGTTTAAAATGAAAATGTAACTTTAACTTGCAAAGGTTTGAGTTAATCTGATATGTGTTTTATTCTGGTCACACAGTGCCATCTACTGGTGCACATTGGACATAGGTCTACAAGTTTGCTGAAAGCCCACAGAACATTTTTGTTTTGTTCAGACCATTACATTTGTCAGTGTTTTGAAGTGTCCGTTTTTTTCCACTATTTATTCCACTTCCACTCTTAATTAAAATAAATAAGCACATCAAAAAAAACTTTCACATGGTTAGTTGCTAAATCCTGTTTGAATAAGGCTCACTATAACAGTGTTACAGACAACTTCACTCTTAATAGAGCAGTGTTACACTTATTATTATAATGTATCTGCCTTTGTAAAAGATGCTAATAAGAACCTTTGATACTTTGCGACATATTCCAGAGTCTTAGCTGCCACAATAGGTCCTTTAAGGACAAAACTCACAAGTTGATTTAAGGGTGTAGCTACTCTGCATATCAGGCTTAGTTGGCCTTCACAATCGAGGCAGCACACAGTCTGATACAAAAAAAACAAACAGAATAACTTTCTGTTTTCTGTTCCCAGGTGCAGTGAACCTTAAAAAAAACTGAAGGCTGTCACCAATGGCAACAATACAAGAGGCTCTGTAGATACTTTACCAAGAACAGGCCAAACACAGGGATGTCAACGATCAGCTACTGAGTATTCTTCCTGCTTCAGGTAGGGGGATGTTGTTTTGGGTACACTTCAGACTAGTGTTGAAACATTTTCCCCCCACCTGCAGCTCTGCTTGGAGTTGCATCCTGCTGCACAACATTATGTAGATTCTAAAATAAATTCTTTAAATATTTGATAGTAACGCACGTGTAACTGACACAAAGTTATTGATCTTACTTTACTGTAAGAAAACTAGCTACATTTGTCAATCATTTATACCAGGGACTGTATGAGGCTGAACTTGGGCACATCTGTACTTTGGTCTGAATGCTAACATTGACTCGGTAAAGTGACAAAAACAACAACAATTTTACAGTTCATTTAGTTCATTTAGCAGCACTTTTATCCAAAGCGACGCACATCAGAGAGAAGGTACAAACCAAACAAGCAAGCATCTAGAAAGGAGGAAACAATGTCACGTTGATATTACCCTGTTCACCATCTGAGTTTAGCATGTTAGCGTTTCAACATTTTCTTATTGAAATGTAACAAGAATGGGGAATGAGAATGCTGATGATTCAAGTTATTTGGTCACATTTTTTTACATGGTGATGGTGCTGGATCACTACAGTAGTGCCAGTTCTTTAAGAGATGGAAAAATTGTAATCAAGCAATATTTGAAATGCTATGCTAAATTCATCTAACTATTCAAGATTTGTTTTTGTCACATGCTCATACAGATGTGCAGTGAAATGTAATGGCTGTTGCGCAAGGCCATGTGATAACAACACTCAAACATTAGAATCAACAAGTTCCTTTGAGGTTAAGGTTATTTCAGGGACTTCATGCAAATCCCATGGCACAATAAAAAATTCATACCTCAGCCTTAATCAAATTGTATTTTGCACAATGTCGCAAAGTTTTAATGTACATTATTAGGTAAGAATGAAAAACAAAATTAAAAATACACACCCAGTAACTTTTAAGTGCTTGATGAAATGGAGATTTCCATTTATTTACTCTGTAAATAGCAACCATATTGTGCGAGGATAACTAAGAGGATAACTGGCCTGCCTCGGTCTAGTTATATGTGTCCTATTAATAGGCCTGGCTCACACACACAATGTTCAGCTGTAACCAAACTCCATCTGTCAAGTCACGTTCTCTCCCTGCTCTGCCTCTACAGTATCGGTGCAGCCAGGCTAGGGGCACTCCGCTCGGTGCCACCCTCCGAGCCAGACAGACGGCAGGACAGACAGACATCTGCCTCCCAGACCATCGCGCATTATGGAGGCTCTGCACATGCAACCCTTTGAAGAGAAAGTGCTGATGCTGGAGGATCAGGAACAGGATGAAAGCAGTGGACAGAAAGAGGGAGGAATGGAAGCCTCAGACGCAGAATCAGACGACGACTCCGAACCAGAACCCCCACTTGTCGTTCAGAGGAAGGTGTCATTCGCAGATGCATTTGGCCTCAACCTGGTGTCAGTAAAGGAGTTTGATAATGCTGACGTGACAGAGTCAGAGGTCAACCAGGACCTTGTGAGTGAGGCCACCCATCCCTTGGAGGAGTTCTACATTTCCTGCTTGTTTACAGTCCCCTCGTGCTCCGAGGAGCTGGACCAGAGGCTGCAAGCACAGATGGTGGAGCTGGAAAGCATCGAGCTTCTTCCGGGAACCTCCATGCTGCGTGGAAACATCAGGGTGGTTAATCTCTGTTTTGATAAGTCTGTGTATGCCCGGATGACCCTTGATCGCTGGACGAGCTACTTTGACCTGTTGGCAGAGTACGTGCCTGGATCCAGTGACAGGAAAACAGACAGGTTTACCTTTAAGTACACCTTGATTCCTCCTTTTGAGAAAGAGGGCACCAGAGTGGAGTTCTGTCTGCGTTACCAAACTTCAGAGGGAACTTTTTGGGCTAATAACAACCGAATAAACTATGTGCTGTTCTGCCACCAGAGGGGACATGTACGGGAGCAGAGGCCTCCAGCGCAAGAGGAGAGTTGCAACTATAGGAGCAAGAGGAGCTGTCTAAAAGCTAACTGGTTAGAGGACCTCATGCTGAATCTTTTTTTAAACATGCCTCAATGGATGGAAGTCACGTCCCCCTCGTACACCAACAAAACAAGTATCTTTGCATTGCATTCAATATTTGTGTGGTCAGAGCAAACTAAGCATAAGAGTAAAGCTATTCAACTTAGCTCCTTCTAAAGGAAACATCCCAAAAAGCTTCTTTTCTGGGCTAGATTTTAAAATCCGCCACAGTGCAGGTGTCTTTTTTATCCATTCTGCAGGAACATTGCTTGCTAGCTGGACCTTGTGTGTATAAAGTAAGACGTTATGCAACTTTTTCCTTGTGGATATTCAGACACCAGATCTCATATTATTGCCCATTTAAGGTCAGGTGTCTGTCAAGGATTCCATGACGTCTGAGCATGCCAGGGGATGTCTGATATTCTTACTTTATCCTCTTCACACAATTTCCCAAAATGCCTATCTTTGGCCACCAGTTCTGATTTTGTTTGTATGTATGTAGAGCAGATTGGACAAATCTGACACGGATATACAAGTTATGGATATGTTGTTATACCCTTAAGGAAATGATTGTAGTATAGAGGTTGTCTATCACACAAACAGATCAAAACACAAACTAACACTTAAATCTTAAAAATAGTTTGAAACTGTAAGATTTGACATCCTTCATTTGAATATATGCAAAACTTTGTCAAATAGTTGTTAAAACACATTCCAAACATGCTGGAATACAAAACACAATGGATTATTAAAAGCTGAGAAACGCTGGAACAGAGTGTGATTCATGGCTGTAAACCATAGCTGTGAGCTTATGTAATGTTTTTGCTTCTTTGTTTTGAACCGCAGGAGGGGAAGTACACAGGAAAAGGCCTTGGAGACCAGTTACACATCAACAGTTATTGCAGGTGTGTACACATAATGTTTATACTGTATGTTTGTGTGCATGTGTGCATCTACATGAATGTGTGTGCTCAAGTGTGCGAGCAAACTTTGACCCTGTTTGTCTTTTTCTTTTTGCAGAGGGAGAGGCTGCACATAAAGCACGGAAGGCGGCCTTAAAGACAAAAGACAGTGCAGAGATAAAATCAGAACTATGCCATGAAGAACACCAACCTTTGGTGAGGTTCATTCATCATATTTTAATAATGAAACACCTACATCACACAAAAGTCAAAAACACATGTCTTCAACTTAAGATATAAAAGGGTAAATATTAACTGAGAAAGTAGATGTCTTCTTTCTGCGAAAAACATGGCAGCTGAGTCACACATGCATACCGCACAGAGCACAAGGAGTCCCAGAAGGCTATGGAAAGTCAGCTGACACCAGAGATCATGTCTGAAATCACCTGTTTGCAAACTATTAATAATAAATGCAACCTGCTTGTACACGTGAAGAAAAAGTTGATGATGTAAACAAAAAATTCTCATGTGCTTCCTGAGGTTGCAGTGGTGTTGCAATCCATTGCATCACCACTGCAATGTTACATATCAAAGAATAGTCAGTTAATGGGCCATTACATGCACTTTTTGTCAACAAGTCTGGATTTAAAGTCATTGATGGCTGTGCAGAGTTCAACAGCACTGTGCTGGTAGCCTGTGGCTATAGTTCAAGTTGTTCAAGAATTAACAGTTGGCTTGACCTTTTGACCGTTGGCCTTTTTGACAGGTGGCTAGCATAAAAAGCAGACAGAGAGCAACAAGATTGGCACGTGTGCAGGAACAACTCGCCAAAAGGAGACAGCAAGTACCTAAGGCTTATTCACATGATTCAGCCAAGGGCCAGGAACGTTTTCAGCCTTTGACACCGACGTTGGTTGACACTGCCGGCTTTCCCCATGGACACCCAAAGAAGAAGCCATCCAACCACACTCCGCAGGTTCTCACCTACCATCAGATTCCTCTGTTGACTCTGGACTGGAACAATGACAAAATCCAGCAATGGGGATCTGCTAATATAGATGATATCTGGACTGGGCGTACTAAAACTCCCTTGTTGAAAGCGTCAGCGGAAAATATGGAAGTAACACCATCTAATAATCATATGTGGGAGACCTTTAGTAGTGGTACAGATGATACCATTGATAAAGGATCCTCTGTGTGCGATGAATGGCAGTCATTTCTCAATGGGACGAGCTTTACAGACCATTTTGATGTTCCAGAATCAGAATGGCTACAGACAGCAACCTCGGTGTCTCCCTCAAAAGACAATGAGCCCAAAGCCCAATATGTGTCAAGCAGTCAAACGCATGTATTTCAGGTGGGGACAGATCCACCCACCACCTTTAATTCACACACCTCTGTTGCATGTCATATGCTGTCAAACTCTCGCCAAACATCGTTGGCTTCTGTTGCCTTGAACATGGACGACCACCAGCCAGCAGAGGCATGTGTCAGCAGCCCGAGAAATGACAACACAGCGACACAAGAAGCATCCCAAAGGTCACAGACGAACTTGGTAACAGACACTCTGCAGGAATTTAGCCTCAAGGGGGTGACGCCTGTGTCCGAGGGATGTGTTGATGGGTTAACCGAGTGTCATGAGCATGCAATGTGGGAACGAGAAAGAGAAGGAATAATGGGAGGAGCGGAAGGAATAGAAAGAGCTGAACACACAGCTGACTTAGTAACAGGCTCAGGGGAGTCGGAGACAACACGCTTGATAGAAATGCCAGAGTCTCAGAATGCCAGTGCCGTTGATAGGATCTCACAGGGAGCGAGGCTGGATGTGGGTCTTTCTTCCAGCAAGGAAAGCGAGGTTACAGGTAATGCAATGGATGACACGCTGGCATTTCAGGAGACTATCAAACAAGGGACAAAGCACGGGGAGAGGTTTGTCCTTCCCACATCAAGACAGGAAGAAGAGAAAGGGATCATGAATAACTGTATAGCAAATGAAGTATCTGCCATGGTGCAGGTATTTAGGCCACAGAAAACAGAAGGGTGTGAAATCTCCCAGAGGTATGCAGATGAAAAGTATCGTGAGGAATTCAGGCTGAACCAAAACAGTGAAAATCCATTACTACAAGAGAATGAGAGCAGTGAAATTGAAATAAGACCCGCACAGTTGGGTTTAGATAAATTCAATCCAAATCAAATGTGTGAGGACAATTTCAAGGAAAGCCAAATGAGAGCAGGGCAATTCAGATTGGATAAAATAGAGAATTTAGAAGTATACAACCTGACAGGGGTGGAATCTACCTTTTGTACATCCTGTGGAGAAACAGAGAGACTAATGGGTGCAGAGGCGGAAATTATCAAGGTATTAAATGAGGAATTATATCAGTACAAGGCTTTACAATTGAATCCATCACGGCAGGGGGACAACACATTCATATTGTCAGTACATGAAAAACAGTCAAGGCCAATCCAGGCAACAAAAGAGTTGTGCTATCAGGAAAATGGACTGGAATCTAAAACTGGTGAACATTCATTAGACTCAAACCAAAAAGAGGAAGGAACAAGCTTGAGGTGTCATGGAATCATTGAAGAGCAACAGGAAAAAAATATATCAGCACAGACAAGACACACAGTGGAACAAAGCGACATGATGAAGGCCTTCCATGACCATGATACTATAAGATCTTTTCCAACAGATAAGTGCAACCCAAATGCTTTGGAGGTGTCGGAGAATAAATGGAATCATTTACAGGGGGATATGAAGGGTCAGAAAGAGGATGTAGGCAATGAAACAAAAACAGAACAAGTTACCGCAAAGGAGACTGTTGGAAAGGCAGACAGTTCAACAGAACTTCAACACCAATCGGAGTTATTAGAAATAATAGAGGGAGATATGAGTCAGAGAGACAAAGATGAGAGGGGGAGTATTGGGAAGCTGAAAATAGAAGCGCAGGGGGAGTTGATGGATAATGAGGAGAACCCTCAGGGGGAGAAGAAGAATGCACCAGCAATATTGGAAGAACAAGAGTTGTCAGCAGAAGTTGAGAGCTCTCCACATGTTGAATGTAAGAAATTGTCAGAGGGAACAAAAGAGCCTATTAAAGCAGAAAGTACCAAAACGATTGAAGCAATGGAGTTGGAATTGGAGGAAATGTCCGTAGAAAGATTTGGAGAAGATTTGGTCAAGAGGATTTGGGAAGAGGTGTTTGGTGAGAAAGTACAGGCTTGTAAGAGAGACACAGATATCACTAATGGAACAGGGGACAAGTCAGCAGATATACCTGATAGCCCACAAATATGCCACCTTCTCAAAGACTCAAACAATGCTTTTGATTTAGGTATAGAACTACCAATGGATCCCAATTTAAGTACCTCTCAAGACCTAGAGCAAACCTTAGTGCTGGAGTGCAATGAATCCTCCTCAAAGGAAGGTAGTAAGTCACTCTCCAAGACAGAACAAACTTACTTTCTTTCAAGAGATTCACAGGCACAGACAGATTTGACATTGAGTGCTCATCTGAGTCAAGATCTCAATCCCATTTTAGCTGCTAAGAGTCAGCAGTCATTGACAGAACCAGCCGAAAGCTCGCGAAAGGATAATGAAAACGACACTCAAATAAAAGGCAGAGCAGTCGTCTACAAGGAGACAGTTAGACAAACTGAAGAGTCCAGAGTCACCAACAAGGGAAGTTTTAATCAATCATCCCACGAATCTCACAGAGTTCCACAGAAATTAGAAGAGTCTGATCTTCTTGTATGGTGGAGTATGATATACATCCTATCACATTACATCACTAGACTAGTAGTCTGTGCCTTCTTAGTTGCTGGATTTTTCGTCATGGTTTTCCTGTATGATTTCCCATTGTCCCTTGCACTCTACATATTTTCAATGTGCTATTTGTTTTCACAATGGAAGAGACAAGTGACGACTAACAAGGGGATGGTGGGATAGGACAAGAGTTAGTTGGTTGGTTGGTTGGTTGGTTGGTTGGTTGTTATAAAAAAAAGTGTGTTGTCAACTCATATACTGTATGTGGCATTATTAACCATGATTGAACAACAGTCACATCAGGGCCTGTGTCCACAGACAGCTCTTTTTGCTCTAGAAGTGCTCATGACCTCTTTTTAGGAGCACTTTAAACCAGTGCTTATTGTTGCTTGGTAACAGAAGTTAACTTTTGCAGTCATGTCCTGGCATTAGCAGAAGCTCTACATCTGGAAATTGTAACCTTTGAAAATACAAGTCAGACTAGTGTCTAGTCCGCCATTTTTGTTGACAAAGCTGATGTTATTAAGGATACCCTGTCTTGATTCTGATTGGACAGTTAGGGATAAGTAGAACTGTTTTCAACGGAGAGCACTGTCAGTGCACCAACAAAAAACAGCAGACGCTTATGGCATATTTTTGCTCAGGGAACTGAGTGCTGAAAATGCTGAACTACATTGTTTTTGTTTTGAAAAGAAGCATTGCCAGTGGACACAGGCCCTTAACTGTGATGCTGTCCATATCTGTGTAATGTATTTCAAACTGGTGAGACCATTGTGAAAATAGGTGGGGGCTTAGGAAATGGGTGAAATAACACAAAACAGTTGTAGCATATCTGTTTGGTCGTATGTTTATATTTGGTTGTTTCTTTTCCAACACAATGTGATTTCTGTGCAGTAGTTTCAATAACTGTTGGCGTTGAACACTTAAAAAGCAATATTGACTTGGGAGACTTGTCAACCTTTCCATGTGACGACACGTTTAACCAGTTCAAACAAACAATAAATTCATTTTGATTATTCTCAGATGAGAGTATGGAAGACAAATATGTTTTGATGCAGCAGTATTGTGTGTTTTTTTCCCACTTTATTCCTTTATCTATTTTTGTTGGTCCATCCCCCGATGACAGCCACTGAAGAAGTTAATTAGCAAAGGTTCACATAAAATTTAGGTTGAGCGAATAAACAGAAACAACAATGAAAAATCCCAGATTGAATTAAACAAAATTTTGAAATCCATGATAAAATCCCTTGTTGAATTTCTTGGTGTGTCTGGTGTGAGTATTTGCTGTGTTTTATGGGCCCAATACTGCGAATGGAACAAAGTGAGTTGTGTATGCAAAGTGTATGCAATAATGAGGCATTTGAGATTATAACACTTCTCTTACCTAGCTGTACTCCAATAAAATAGATTCATATAACTAAATTCACGTTTTCAACTTGGTCTTGTCTTCATTTGTTTAAGGTATTCTACATAAATTATTTTCTATGACATAATATTTTATTTTAGTGAGGATTGTCATGACCCATGAGTAATG